AAACTATAATAGGAAAATAAATAAAATTTACAATGTCAGGCAAACAGTGGATTCTAATTACCAGAAATCTCTTCTACTTGAAAGCACTAAGTAGAATTTTGTGTAAGAGTTGCTGTCGATTCATAATTTCAATTCCTAAGCATACTACCTCCTTCCATCTAGACTCTTACACTGCACAGAATCTGCCCTTGATCTTCCGCAGGGCAGCATCACCTCCACAGCTGGCCCATGCCCAGCTACAAGCTTGCACTGACAAGGACAAACAGCACAGTCATGTTTATAGTGCTCTCACATTCCCATGGACTCCCCCAGGACTGCTCCTCTCTCCGTCCCCCTCAAAAAAAAGAAAATAAACAAAAAATCCAAATTATGGACACAAATGCTTCAAAAATAGTCAATACTAGAGAAAAGAGGATCTGTATCTTAGATAAATCTGAGATTAAATTTAGCTTTTAGAGGACCCTGTTACTTGTGGATAAATATCACAGATAATCATAGTCATTATGGTTGGAAGAGACCTTCAAGATCGAGTCCAACTGCAAGGCCTTCGAGAGCCTGCCTGCTAAACCCTGTCCCCAAATGCCTCATCTACACGTTTCTTGAACATTGCCAGGGCCAGTGATGCCACTACTTCCCTGGGCAGCCTGTTCCAATGCTTGACTACTCTTTCCTTGTAGGAATTCTTCCTAATGTCTAACCTGAACCTCTCCTGGCGTAACTTCCCTGCAAAAGGCCAGGTTTCTTAGAAAGAAATATTTATGTTAAAAGAATTAATAAGATTTAAATTGATAACAATACGGAGAATAGTAGTGTACCTTCTCTGATACAAGATAAACAAGGCTCTTGGTGTTAGAAGGATAGAAGACAAAAAAAGCAGCTGAACTTCTACTGCCAAATCGGCTTACCACAGGAGACCAAGCAATGGAATTACTGGCACATTAATGCAAGCAAAGCCATCTTGCAGGGACAGTTATCCTGCTAGAGAAGAAAAACAAATAGCCCCTAAAAAGACAATTGTTGGTTAAGTTTCCATGAACAACAGATGTGAACTCAAAAGGCTACACAGTATTTTCCTCCTCAACCTAACACCCAGCCCTCAAGCAGATGATTGTCTTTGCAGCATAAACAGCTCGCCTGCACATGCTGAAGACCATCATTATTTCAAGATGGGCTTTCCCAGCAGATTCTGTTATAACCCATGTGCCATCGGAGCCTTTCCTAAGGGGCTGCAGCTTCCACTGAGCTGGTTGCAGACCGGCCCATTTCAGCTGCTGAGCCATAAGGATGGAGGATGTGCCCACAGGGCTGTCCAGAGCAGTACCTTCTGTTTAAAGTGGACTGCATTAAATTTCAGAATACATTTGCTACAGAGCTATTAGCAGTAATCTTTCCTCTACCTGCCCCTGAATTCCATAGGACTGACCACACACAGCAGGTAACTTACATCCCCTTTCCGCAGTCCATCTCTACGCTCCATCCTTACCACACAGTTTAATTTATAAAGCTTTGCTTTATAAATTAAAGTTTCTCCCTGTAAAAATTCAGCTTTACAGCTGTAATGTCTTGTTCCTAATAACTGTGATTTTTTCTCCAGTTCTTGGCCTGTAGAAGTGACAGAGGGGAGAAACCAAAACACAAACAAGCCCATCGATTTTTTTCTCTTGACAATAAAAGACAACAATAGCAAGAGTTAAGAGACGATCCTTTCCATTCGGACCATGCTATTGCTAAGCGCTTTCGAAGCAAAACCCCAGACAAAGCCTCACAGAGCTGCGCTCTCCAGAAAATTCTGAGCTCTGCCGTTGGGAAGTATGCGACTCTTGAGAGGGAGTTAAACAGCCCCTCTTTGATGGGGTAATCGATAGCAGAGGGGAAGGGGCAGCGCGCCCGGGGAAGCCGGCGGCGCGGGGGAAGGCGCTCCCGGGGCGCAGAGGCCGGG